CTTCAGCTGTACCACCCACTCGGACATATATTTCTGCAAACATCCAATTAGGTAATAAGCTCTTTTAGGAAAGGAATTTGTTTTTATTCATTATATTCCCAAGGCCTGGCACACACTAAGCATTTGATAAACATCTGTATATGTCCAACACAAGCTTAGTAAAAAACCAGGCACTTTGTTCAATCCAGTAGCCACAAAGTTCATTATAATATGTATAATTGCTTTTGTTGAATAAATTAGCTCTGTACCTAATAAGCATGCTGAATGGCTTTCTTTCATATATAACAATTGTATTTATACAGAGAAGCCAATTTTCACTTTGAAGTTCTGATATTGAGAGGCATATACTAAAAAAGACCTATCTGGGGCTGAGAATAAAGGTATAATGCTATTCTACTACTCTCTTTTACAGCTACTTCCTGCTAACTAACTAAGGAGGTAAAGATAGCAATCATCTTGAAGAGCTATTATTAGTATTAGGAGAGACTTCAAAACATACCACATAGGGATATCTAGAATAAACATTTTATTTTATACTATTATTTTTCAAAATAAAGTAAAAATGATTACACTACTAAGATCCAGAGGAACAATTCGCTATTCCATGTAAAGTAGGATTCAGACTGAAACTAGGTAGCTAACATTTGTTTTCGCAGAACTCACCTGAGTACATAAGCTTCCTGCTTGTCAGTTTTTGTCACACTTATGATTGAACATTGCACATCCTTCAGAAGTATGTCCCACTCAGATCTATTATTTAACAAAAAAGGGATGATTAAGTCATAATAGTACTTGCCTACTTGAGTAGAAATTACAAAGCTCTTAAACTTGAGTGTTCTAACACAATTTAAACCATGTATATTTGTTGTCACATTCTTGTTCCAGCTTCTGAGTAACGTTTTTATTTCAAAAACCTATCTATACTGACATATCCAGAATAACAAAGAGCAAACTTGAAAACTGGAAATTAAAAGCCATTTACAATTTACTCAGAAAAAAAGACAAAATGAATAAGACTTGCAGAGGAAGTTTAAAAGGCCCTTAAACCAAGGAAAATCTTTACCTTTCACCCACAAGCAAGTGAAGAGATTAAGTAAAAATGAGATTTTTTCTTTTGCCTATCAAAGTCTTAGATTTTCAATCTTAACTGGAGGAATTACAATTTAAAAAGCATTATTTCCTTCACTGATTGGCAAAAAGATCTAAAGGCCTGTTAGTATAAAGCTAGAGCTCTCATACTGTTTAGATACTATTTTCCATCAAATTAGCAGCTAATTGGGATCCCTGGGTGGCGCAGCGGGTTTGGCGCCTGCCTTTGGCCCAGGGCACGATCCTGGAGACCTGGGATCGAATCCCACATCGGGCTCCCAGTGCATGGAGCCTGCTTCTCCCTCTGCCTGTGTCTCTGCCTCTCTCTCTCTCTCTCTCTCTCTCTCTGTGACTATCATAAAGAAATAAAAATTAAAAAAAATTAAAAAAAATTAGCAGCTAATCATACCTAGTGGAGTCTAGAATCATCAGAAACTTGAAACATGGTTTTTGTTGCCAATTCAACATCAAGATTTTGGGCAACATTATACAACTCTTTAACAGGATCAAAAATATGCCCATTCCAACAAAGTGAAAAGTCTGTAGTATAAGGCAATAGACTAAAATGGAAGTCAAATGGGCATAACAAAAGAAATTAGTTTTAATTTTATCTGATTGAGACCTAAGAAGTGCTTCCCTCTTTAGTGTGTCCACTATAAACTGAAATATTTATAAAACAATTCCACATGACAAGCTTATAATTACCAAATTAAAGGCTTGAAATATTTTTAAGGCTCTTAATGTTTGACAGGTCATTCCTGTATACCCAAGAAAATAGCACATTATGGTTAGTTTTCTTATCCTGTTAAGACTCTGTAGAAGAAATCCTCAACAGCACAGCCAGCACAAAACCATTTATGTTTTAGTCTTTTGTATTAAAAATCAAGCACAGGGGCACCTGGCTGGCTCAGTTGGGAGAGCATCTAACTCTTGATCTCGGGGGGCTATGAATTTGAGCCACATATTGGGTATAGAGATTACTTAAAAAACAAAACCAAACCACCCACAAGCATAGTGCTAGTCAATCCTGTTAGCATTTTGTGCCTGTTTCATCATTTTCTAAAAAAAATGTTTACTGGCCCAAAAGGCAATTATATGACCAGTCACAGAAGGCAGTAATTCCTAAGTTGGGTAAATTAGTTAAATTGAACAGTACTGAGACTTACCTGAAAAAAACTCAATTGTTAGGCTTGCTAATGATTATACAGCCTATCTGCCTGTAACTTTAACCAAGGATTTTTTTAAGTTTATTTTTATTTTTCAGAGGTGGGGGGATCTCAAGCAGACTCTCTGCTGACAGTGGAGCCTGACACAGGGCTCCATCTCACAACTCTGAGATCATGACCTGAGCCAAAATCAAGAGTCAGACACTCAAATGACTGAGCCACCCAGGTGCTTTGGCCAAGCAATGTTTAAGTGCTAACAATTAGCTTTCTTTTAAAAAGGTGCCGATGACTGTTTACATAAAGAAAAAGAAAAATACACATTAGACTGGGCCACATCTTTTCAGTTTGTTTCAAATTTTTCAAATGGTACAATTTGTTGTTGACATTTCTTACAATTAAAATATCTCTGTGCTTGGTTTCTTTATATCTGGTGGGCAATAAAACCTACTTCATATAACTGATTAAGTTATATAATGCATACATAATGTACCTACTCAATGGTAAAAATTCAAGCACCGAATATACAGGTAAATAATAATACCCACTATAAGCATTAAGTAAAATTCTGCAGCACACAGGTCTCTCTTTAGAGCTTACTTAATTCAGATCTTACCTTGAAAAAAAAAAATCAGATCTTACCTAAGGACTTCCCACTAGAATTCAGCACTCTTGCCAATAAATATTCTCTTCCACTCACTGGACACGCTACCTTTCCAGTTACAGTCACTATTCATGCAGACTCCCTCAGTCCATTTCACGGAGATAATTGACATACACTGCTGCATGTAAGTTTAAGGTGTACAGCCTAAGGGTTTGACTTACTCATTTGTGAAATGATTACCACAAAAGGTTTAGTTAGGATCCATCGTCTCATATATACAATAAAAAGAGAAGGCAGAAAAAAATAATCTTTCCACCACGAGAACTCTTAGGGTTTATTCTCTTAACTTTCATGTATCATACAGCAGTGTTAACAACAGTATATTACGACTTGAATCATGTTCCATAATGTTTTCTTTCTTGTGTAACTTTGTTTTTCTCTGGATTTAAAAGCTGTCTGCTTTTTCATTTGCTTTGGTTTTCTATGCATTAACTTATCCTCAGATGTTCCCCCAACTGTTTCAACATTTCTTTTGAGTGATTCTTGGCCAAGATTAGGTAGGGTACTAAGACTTAGCTAGTCAAAAAGTCTATATACACATGGATGGGGCTTGTTTACTGTCAGCCTCCATACAGGGCATGTGGGGGTTTCACTGGGAAACTCCCTATTAGTATTTCTTTTAAAGTTCTTTCCTAGGCAGGTCAGATCATCCAAATATTCCATTCTCTTGCCTGGTGAGCATGAAGAATTCTGGTAGGCAAAAGAGGGTAAAGGGCTAATGATCTCTCATTCTAAGTTTTAATTCCTTATTTTCAGTATAGTCACTTTACCCCTCTCAACAGTACTTAGTCCTCATTTCAGAGAGATCCTTTGTTACTCCCAGAGAATAAACTATTATTACCCAATCTTCAGATCTCCTGGCATCCCCTTTCTCATCTGACTCAGATTTTATTTTATTTTATTTTATTTTTTAAAGATTTTGTATTTATTCATGAGAGACACACACACACACAGAGGAAGAGACACAGGCAGAGGGAGAAGCAGGCCCCATGCAGGGAGCCTGATATGGGACTCGATCCTGGGATTTCAGTATCATGCCCTGGACTGAAGGCAGGCACCAAACGGCCGAGCCACCCAGAGATCCCCTGACTCAGATTTTATAATATAAAGATAATGAATCAGAAGAACAGTTGAAATAAATAAAGGTAACCAGCTCTACCCCCATTTTCTGTATGGTCACATGGGGGCTTTTCTACCAACCCACTTTCTATAAACAACCCACTTTCTTATAATGTAAACTTAACCATATCAAGCCACATGAGAGTGAAAAAGAGAGCGTTGTAATTATGCTGAGACACACATGTAAACCTTGTTCTGCATACTGGTGTAATGGACTTCACCCTACCCACAACCCCTGCCCTAAGCACCCTTCTTCTAGCTCAGGTCACCTCACTATATTCCCACCAGACCAGATCAAATATGAAAGTTTTTTTTAAAAATCTTAGGCAGAGACACAAGCAGAGGGAGAAGCAGGCTCCGTGAGGGGAGAGCCCGATGTGGTACTCGATCTCGGGACCCCAGGATCACAACCTGAGCCAAAGGCTGATGTTCAACTGCTGAGCCACCCAGGCGTCCCAGCCTTAAACTTTTTAAATCTAAAATTGTTACATGCTCCTTTATTGTTTGTCACTGTAATAGTTCAAGTATTTCGAAGGCAAGTTCTTGAAAAGATAAACTCCTTTAACAGAATTATCTTGTTAACAAGATTATATATTCCACTTGAAATGCCATCTCATTTTAATCTACATAAATGGAGCTTACTCCTTTCACTGCCAAATAACTTAGTTATAAGAATCCATTTATTATAATGAACCTACATGTGATTGTTTTCTCAGTTTTTTTTTCCCTGAAACACACTGTCTGGAGGGATCTGCTGATGCAAACATGTTTAACTTTTTTGGTTTGAACAGAACCCGAGACCTGTGGAGCACTTGCTGCCCCCAATCTTTTTTCTGTGTTGTTCAGAATCGGTGATTCCTACTGATCTATCTTCATGTTCATTCACTCTTCTATTTCCATTCTACTAGAGCCCACCCTGGAAACTTTTCCCCAAGATTTTATTTATTCATGAGATCCTAAACAGGAAAAATATGGAACGCTTCACGAATTTGCATGTCATCCTCCTTGCGCAGGGGCCATGCTAATCTCTGTTTCATTCCAACTTTAGTTTATGTGCTGCAGAAGCGAGCACTCACCCAGGAAACTTCTTATTCCAGTAGTTATTTTCCTGTTGCATTTTAAAGTTCCATTTTCTATTTCTCTAAGACTTTGTCTTTTCCTTTTAAGCGTACTCACTCTCCTTATAGAATGTTTATGACAGCTGTTTCTAAAGCTTGATTTGCATCCCCTTGAGGCTATAGTCTTTTTCCTTTGAGGGATGCTGAGAATTTTCCTGGTCATTCTTTTTTTTTTTCTTTTTTTTTTTTTCTTTCCTGGTCATTCTTAAGTTGAGCAATTTACAACTGCATCCTGAGCATTTTGATCATGTTACATAATTTTATTTTATTTTTATTTTTTTATTTTTGTTTTTTAGTTTTGTTAAATGCTACATAATTTTAAATCTTGTTTCAATCCTATGGAGCATGCTGATTTTAAAAATTGTTTTAGCAGGCAACTGAAACGGTTAAGCTCAGTTTTCAAGTTTTTATTCAGTTTCTCTGGGTTATGTTATGGTTTCACATTTTAGTTACAAAAGCCCTTGTCATGGTACTCAGATCTGCCCTGCTTTCGTGTCACCCAGTGACCAGACTGGGACTGGGGAGGTGATCTATCAGTTTTCAAGACCTCTGACATACTGTATAAGATCAGAGGTGTATACAGGAGCAGTTGAGTGGGGTTTATATAAATCTTTATGGGATCACTGTCTTCACCGCTCTCTCCTCCCCATAATCTTGTTGACAAGATTCAGGATGGGGGGCCCAATTCTTGGTCCTCTGGGTAGGAAGCCAAGGTTTTATTTTTTTTTTTTTTTGGAAGCCAAGGTTTTAGTTTGTTCACCTGCAGCAGGCTGCCTAGGACTATCTGTCCCTCTGGGGCCAAACAGGTAAACGACAAAAGGGAAAAGAGGAATAGAGATATCCTTGATGTTGTTCTTCACTCTGGTCAAAAAGGGGTCCCTCCTGCACCTGGAGTTTTAGGCATCTGTCTGGCCACAAGTGTGGACACAGGACTGCCAGTGTTATCGGTAGAACATATACACAAAAAGCAAAGCAATAAAAAAAATTTAAAAAAGGATTTTCCCTACTCTCTCTGACCCGAAGGCGCCAGAAAGGCCCAGCCCCCTTCCTTCTCTGTAGACCAGAAATAGAGGACCTCTCTTGGAACTCTTTTTGTCTGTACCTAGTGTGCAGTTACCAGTTTCTGGCAGCTTTTCAGACCACCCCAAGAGATAATGAAAAGAAAAGAACAGAACAGAAGAAATCACAGTTGTTTCAGTGGTATTTTGAATTATGGTTTCCTTCCTCAATTCACCTGCTAACATTTAATTTTCAAAGTCCTCACTGTTCCATGCACTCTGTCCAAGGTTTTTAGTAAATACAAGAGACAGTTGTAGAGTGTGCTTATTCCATCTTGAGGGAAACCAAAATGCTCTTACACTCATTCACCATTAATTAAGAAATTTTGCAACCAAACTCTTCCTCACCTAATAAAAGCCCTCTAGCATTTTTTCAAAGTCATGGCATGTGAGAATGCTGTTGCTTCAAAACACCTTAAAACATAGCTGAGTAAACAACCAAAAAGACAATCTTGAGAGCTAACAGGCTCAAAAAAAGAAACCAAGGGCACGATGTAAAAGAAAACAGAAAAAGTCAATACAATGCTATACATGTATATAAAGAGAAAGGTGAAAAACCCGACACCAAAAACAGCTGAGAATTTTAGGCAATTATTTTATCACATTTCTCCCAGGAAAATAAGCCTTGTTTTGTAAATAAAGGTTTATTGGATCCTAGCCACACCCAGGTCACAGTAAGTACCCCCCAAAATAGGATATACTGTTTACTATTAACAGTACATGGATCGAATAAACTTAGATCACCACACGGGAATTGCAAAGCATTAATGATATATTTTACTATATTTGAAATTCTCTTAAAGAATCTGTGTTTTAATAAAAACACAAGTTGGGGGCATTTACAAGGGCAAAGATTGCACTAAAACGACAGACTTCTGAAGGTTATCTGATCAAACAAAACCCAAAAGGGACAACTGACTACATTTTTAAATGTAGTATGTAAAAAGTAAATGCCACAGGTCAAATGACCTTCAACAACAAAAGTGCCAGGACTACAAATTGGGAGAAAAAACCATCCAACGGGTGCTGGGAAAACCGAATGTCCACACAAAAGAATGAGGTTGGATCCTTACCTTACACCATCTACAAAAATTGATAGATTAAAAACCAAAACCAAGACCTAAAACTACAAAAGTCCTAGAAAACATAGGGGAAAGCCTCACCGGACACCGGATCTGGCAATGCTTTCTTGGATATGACACAAAAAGCACAGGCGGCAAAGGCCAAAGTAGACAAATGAGACAATATCAAACAACTTCATAGGAAAGTACTCAACAGAGTGAAAAGACAATACAGGAGAAAATACTTGCAAATCATATAGGTGATAAAAGGTAAACTTCCAGGATATATAAGGAACTTCCCTAAGAGTAAAAACCTAATGGTGCGTGCTTGGCTGGCTTAGTCGGTGAAGTGTGCAGCTCTCGACATGGGATTGTGAGTTTGAGCCTCACGTTGGATACAGAGATTACTTAAAAATCTTGAAAATAACTAAGTGGTGCAGCCATTACAGAAAAACAGTATGGATGTTCTTCAAAACCTTAAAGATAGAACTACTATCTGACTGATCTAGTAATCCCACTTCTGGGTACAGATCTAAAAAATTCAAAACAATGTCTGGCAGAGGTATGTGCACACCCACACTGTTGTTCACAACCGACAGGAGATGGAAGCAACCTCAATGCCCATCAAAGGATTAACAGATAAATAAAATGTGGTTATGTACATAAAACATGGATAAATCTTGAGGACCTTATGCTATGTGAAATAAGCCAATCATGGAAGGACAAATACCGTATGACTCCATTTATGAAGCACTCACACTCCTATGAAGTATCTAAAGTAGTCAAAATCCTAAAAGAAGATGGTTACCAAGGATGGGGAAGAGGAGAGGGGAAATTAATGGCTTTAGTTTGTTTTGCAAGATGAAAAAGTTCTAGAGAACTGTTGCACAACAATGTGAATATACTTACAACACTGCCCACTTAAAAATGGCAAACTAAGATGTTTTTAAATCACAATCTTATAAAGTAAACGTCTGAGGGAACAGAATGTTGCTGGCAGGTGGAAGAAACCCATTAAGCAGAGTATCACTCTCATCACCCAGAGTTGGATCCTAACCTCAGATCCAGTAGGTCAGATACGCTGCAGATGGCGCCTAAAAATTTGCATTTAAAAGGCCTCCTTGTGAATAAAAACTGGTTTCAGGGTTACCAAGTAATTCATCCAAAAATTCACACAACTATGTGAAGTTTCCCTGAGCTGCGACCTTAGGGAACAGCCTAATTTTAGTGACTCTCCCCTTACCACATTACATTCAGGCCTCTATACCTTACCCAAGGTTATTAGTCTTTGGGCCAACATCATCCTAAAATAGATTATTCTCTATCAAAGCTGAGATTGACCAGAAGTTAAATTCTGAGTATACCCTTCCCTTGAGTTAGGGGCAGTTAGTTCAGATATCCAGAAAAATAAAAGCCTTCCCCTTTTGTTCAAAGAAATCAACTGAAAATACACAGTGCTAATTTTAATTACAGTATTAAATTCTCTCTCTCAAGCTTTAAAATTTAAATCACTATTAGTATAATTACTGCTACATTCAGTTGATTATTACTTTCAACGCGTACAAAGAAAGGGTGGTTTGGGGACAACAGTTCAAAGTCTTTCAAAACTTTTGTGAAGAATGTAACAAGAAACTTAATTCAATAAGAAGCTTTTCTACTTCAAAACATTTACACTAAAAGGTTTCTTGGCAATGGGCTGTCAATTTCTTCAATGTAAAATTACTGATCCCACTACTCCTTAGGGCTTTTTCCAATGTCAACAGTATAGATTCTAGTTTTTAGTTTCATGTTAACTGTGCAAATAATACACCTCTAACCATCCTATAGTTAATATTTACTCTCTTCACCTCCACTACAATTTCCCATCTGAACCCACCTCATTACTAAGAATAAAAGCTCAGGGTTATGAATTCAAAAGCAATAATCTTTCTTCCCAGCAAAAATTTTTATTTTCTAACAGACTTCCTCCCCATAACTGCCATTTCCTATAACATAAAAGGCTTTTGTTTGGTCCAGCAACCCTAAGACATTTTAATATATGATCAGATTTCTATTCACATCCTTTTGAAATCTGAAAAAACTGCTAGAGAACCTGCAGTTTACCACACCCCCCCCTTCCTTTTACGTTAACTTCAAGCAATGTGTGGATTAAGTCAGTTTTAGAATGTCACCAACTCCTTTATTCATATGGATATACTGGACTGGTGCTTTTCTTCAATATACTGTTAACCAGTATTCTTCAACCGGAGTCAGTGAAGATTTTCCACTCTCCATTTACTTATTTTTACTTTTTTAGAGAGGGACAGAGAGAATCTAAAGCAGGCTCCAGGTCTGGTGTGGAGCCTGATGGGGCTCTATCTCACAACCCAAGAACAAAAACGGGTGCCTGGGTGGCTTGGTCGGGTAAGTGAATGACTCAATTTCAGCTCAGGTCCCAATCTCAGGGTTGAGATCAAGCCCCCATTGGGCATGGAGCCTGCTTAAGATTCCCTCTTTCCCTGGGGCACCTGGTGGCTCAGTCAGTTAAGTATCTGACTTCAGACAAGGCCGTGGTCTTGGGGTTCTGGGGAACTGAGCCCCGTGTTGGGCTGTGCACCTGGCAGGAGTCCGCTGGTCCCTCTCCCTTTCTTCCCAATAAAGAAAATCTTAGGAAAAAAAAAAAAATCTCCCTCTGCCCCTCCCCCAAGCTCTCTCAAAAAACAAAAACTATATAATGTACCCATTGTCCCTCTTGAGAAGTTAGAAAAAGATACTGTGTTCTGTAATTTGATTAAGATTACACTTAAGATACTACCAAACAGCCTACCGGAGAGTGGGAAATGTTTAACAGACAAG